CTCGTTCACATCTCAGCTTTGTATTTTCTGTGTAACTTTGGGCAAGTTTAGTTAACCTCTCTGGGCCTCCTTTCCTCATCTGTAAAACAGAGAGTGTACCTAAATCACAGGGTTGTTGAGAGGGTGTGATGGTTAATGCACGTGTCAACTTGGAATCCTCAGTGGCTTGGCAGGCATTCATCTCATCCTCTGACCTCTGGTTCTCGGCCCTTGAGCCAGCAGCCTCCCACCTGACTTGTAGATTTTGGGCTAGTCAGCCCCTGCAACCATGTGAGTTAGGAGAAGCCTCCAGCCTGCTGCCTGGCTCATGGATTTGGGACTTGCCGACCTCCATAATTGCATAAACCATTTCCTTGAAATAAATCTGTATTTATATATATGTTTCACTGTTTCGTTCCTTCCTCTAAAGAACTCAGCCTAAGTTATGCAAAACACACTGTCGTTGACTGGGATCCAACTCATAATGACCCCTCCTTAGGTTTTCGAGGTGGTATCTCTATGGAAGTACATTGCCCAACCTTCCTTCCGAGGAGTGGCTAGTGGGTTTGAACTGCCAGCCTTCTGGTTAGCAGTCAAATGCCTTAGGCACTATGCCACCAGAGCTCCTTGCCTAAGTTAGAGGGTTAAATGAATTAGAAAGGGCTTGGAACAGTGCCTGGCACATAATAAACCCTATATACCTGTTTGCTATCACTATTAATGTAATCTCGTATGACTTTTTAGCATGAGTTGACAATGTTAAGTTCTCATTCTTTAAAATTCTCTTTCCCACTCATCACTAGCACTCCTTTTCCATCTCCTTTGTAAGTTTTCTCTGGCATGAGGACACTGGTTGAATGGCCATTGCTCACCATATGGGGCTTTGTTAATTAGAAAAAGGCTCCCCTTTGACATATTTTGCCTTGAACTTCAGCCCCTACCTGTTACTAGTCAGGCATCCCCTATGTAGGTAGGTCTTGGCCTGCACGATAGCACATAACAGCCCTGGCCGATTCATCAACATTCTCCCGACCTTGTGTGCCACTCTAATAGAAGCCCAGTTTTATCAAACTATTCACCAGCTTCCAAGAAACTCCAGTCCCAGCCCTGGGGGGCGGGGGGCGGGCAGGAGGAAGCCCGAGGAGTCCAAGGTAATTATGGTGGCCCCCTCACCCAGGCCAATAATTGGCTCAGGAGTGGGCATGTGAGCTAATTTTGATGGGAAATGAAAGAAGTCTACAGGGAGGTTCTGGTAAAAGGTTTCTTTGCCTCCAAAGAGACACAATGGGAAGAGATGCCCACCCTTTGCATTAGAGATTATGGTCTACTGTGATGCCTAGACTTGCAGCAGTCATTTTGGGGCCATGCAGGCAGCCCCAGTGGGAATCAAGCCCTCAGGTGGGGGTGGCAGAGCAGACACGCAGTGGGCTCTCTCAGAACTGTGGACTGTATGACTCCTGGAGCCCTCTCTAACTCTGGACATCCTGGTGATGGCTGATATACCTCATCTCTTTATTACTTCAGCCAGTGTGAGTCAGGGTCAGGGTTTCATCACTTGCAGCCACAATTTTTCCTGATATAAATACCCAAAGGCTGATTTCAAGGAGCCCTGGTAACACAATGATTAAGTGCTCGGTTGCTAACCCAAAGGTCAACGGTTCGAACCCACCAGGGGCTCTGTGGGAGACAAGATCTGGCCATCTGCTTCTGTAAAGGTCACAGCCTAGGAAACCCCATGAGGCAGCCCTACTCTGTCCTATAGAGTCACTGTGAGTGGGAATCAACTCAGTGGCTCAAAGCAACAAGGTTTTCTCTCCAGCCCCTCCCAGGGCTGCCTCACCCACCCTCGTGGTGTCAGGTCCCTCACCTGAGTCTCCAACCTTGACCTTCCCACTCTGAGGCTCCTGTGACCTCTGTCTGGGTGTCCCTTGAGCGTCTCATACCTGTGTTCCAAACTAAGTTCAGCATCCCCTGTTAAACCTATTGTTTCTCCCAGGTCCCTATCGCAGGGACAGCTGGCCATCCTTTGGACCTTGTCCTGGTCTTGAGCCTTCTGACTTGGCCTCCCAAGCGTCCCTCCACCCACCTCTCCTCTTGCCATGGCCCTCCCCAGCCCCGTCTCCTACTTTTTCCTGCCTCCCCCTGGTCTCCTTATCTGGTTTACCTCCACAGAGCTCAAACTTAGCCATAACCCTGTCCTGTTCAAAACCTTTCCATGGCTCTCTAGTGCCTTCAGGACAGAGGCCAAGTTTCCAAGCTCATAATTTAAGGACACATGAGATGTACTCATGTGTAACTCCCTTTCCCCCATTCACTCCCCACTCAGGTCACAGTAAACTACTTGCAAGTAGCTGATGCCCAACATGCTTTCAAAACCCCAGGCTTTTGACCACAGAGTTCCTTCTGCCTGGAATGCCCTCCCTGTGTCTTTTCTACTTGTCTGTGGTCTGTTGATCTACAAGGCCCAGCTCAAACACCTCATCCCTCCTGTCATCTATGCAGAGCTTGGTATAGAGTAAGAGCTGATAGGCGGGTCCTTGGCAGTGCTATTACCGATGCACTCACCTTGGGAGGGGCTAATGTTGGGAGTGGGGGTTTCAACATACAGCACTTGCTTCCCGGCTCTGTGGCTGAAACACAGGGCCTTCTCTCCCTGTGCCTCAGGTTCTCCATCTGTGAGCACCCAAAAAAGCCAAACTCACTGCCATTGAGTAGATTCTGACTCATAATGACCCCCATTGGGTTTCCGAGGCTGTATATCTTTAGGGAAGCAGACTGCCCCATCTTTCTTCTGAGGAGCAGCTGATGGGTTTGAACCACCGACATTTTGGTTAGCAGCCAAATGCCTTAATCATTACATCACCAGAGCTCCTTCATCCATAGTAATCAAAACCAAACCAAACTCACTGCCACTGAGTCGGATCTGACTCATAGCAACCCCTCCTTGGGTTTCCGAGGCAGTATCACTATGGAAGTAGATCGCCCAATCTTCCTTCTGAGGAGTGGCTGGTGGGTTTGAACCATCAGTCTTCTGGTTAGCAGTCAAATAATGTAGGCACTATGCCACCACAGCTCCCATCATCTGTGGAAAGGGGGCAGTAATATTACCTTCCTCATATGTACAGAATCCAGAACAGGGCCTGGCCAAAGACATCACAGAAAAATGTGCCAGGATCTGTGAAATCATCTTTTGAAATACGTGCTCTGATTATCACTATTTTAAAGATGAGGAAACTGAGAATTAGAGAGAAGTGACTTGCCCAAGGACACACTGCCAAGACATGGCTGAATTGGGATTTGAACTGAGGCAGACTGGCTCCTGAGTCCAGTGCATAACAGTCTACTCCTGGTGAAAGGGGGTAGTTATGACAGGGTTGTGGCCAAGAGTAGCATCTTCCATGTTAACGGGATCTGGGCCTAGATCCTGTTTCCTGCCTGCTGGCTGCTGTTTGAGGATACCACTCCAGGCCTACCCCAGGGCTCGCCACACAGGGTCCTGCTCCCTGGAGAACTCTGTGAAAGATAAGTCAGGTACAGCTTCTGCCCTTGGCTACTCTTCTTGTTTCAGGTCTTAGCTTAGTTACTACTTCTTCCAGGAAGCCCTCCCTGACCTTTCAGGATGGTTAGGCATATTTCCTGGGCTTCCTCCATCCTGGCCCTGACCATTCTGGACTGTCACTGTCTGGGGACAGATCTGTCTACCTCACTGAACCCCACAAAAGCAGAGTCTGGGGCCATCTCAACCAGTGTTGTGTCCCTAGCACTGCCCAGACCAGGGCTGGCACAAAGCAGGGGTTTCTAGGTGAACAAATATATTCTTCCCATTTGACAGCTGAGGAAATAAGGCTCAGAGAGGGGCAGTCACTTCCCTGAGGCCTAAAAGGAGGTCCGAGTCCACTGGCTGGTAGGCTCGGCAATGCGTGAGTGGTTGTGTGATAGAGACAGACGGAGTGAGAAACAGAGAGCGAGAGGGAAAGCCAGGGGCAGTGAGAAAGACAGAAAGCCAAAGAGGCACAGGGTGTGCAAGAAAAGGAGAGAAAGGGGAAGAGGGGAGAATGAGGCGGTGCTGGGCTCAGTGGAGCCCGGGCTGTGCAAACAGGGCTCACCCACCCCTGCATGCAGCCTGTGGTTGCAAATGGAGGGGAGGGCGGTGCAGTGGATTGCCTAGTATGGCTTTCCTAGCCTGTTTTTGTAACTCCCACTGGATTACTGGCTGGGAGCATGCAAATAAGGTGTGTGGAACTCTGATGTGGGATTGGTTACTTTTGTCACTCTGCCAGGCTTAAAATGAACCTTCCTAGAGGCAGAGGGGGGATCTCACTGCCATCGAGAGAGAAGAGCTGGAGGTGAAGTGGAGCGTGTCCTTGGATTCAAGACCCCTGCGCTGGACCTCCTTGGCTGAGACACCCCAGCAGAGACGGCGACAGTGGAACCAAGAGGAACGAGACAGAGCGGCAGGCTTACCAGAGGTGCACCTAGTTATACCTATCAGCAGAGCTAAAAGATCTTTGTAACACTTTCCCTAAGCAGGGCAGAGGCCAGACAGCAGGGCTAAGGGCCAGAGAGCCGGCCTGAGGGCACAGCACAGGAGAGACTGTCCTAATGAAGAACTGCATCCTGAGTGCACTCCTGAACCTGAATTGTAGCCTATTACTTCCCTAATAAACCCCATAATTGTGTGGCTATTGCAACGAATTATCAAACCCAGCAGAGAAGTAGTGAGCGCCATTGGAGGGATGGCTGGTGTCAGAACTGGTAAAAGGCTGGAGGGTGGCGGTGTGTCTGGCCTCATAGGAATAAGCCTTGGGTTGCTGATGGTGGTTCTGGCTTTCTCTTGTGAAGTTAGAGCCGGTCAGGAGATGCTACCTCCCTGTCCTTTTGCAGGCAGTTAGCCACAATGTCTCATAAACACCTGTATATGCAGGCAGACAGCCCTGTGTTGTCAGCTCCGATCCAGCGAGCACCTCAGCGCCAGGCCAGTTCCTCTCAGCCTCCTCTCAGCCTAGGGCCGCCTGCCCCAGCTACCTGGGGATGGAGGCATAGTCAGTGTGGGAGCTGGCAGTGAGCTGCTGATGCAGATCTGGTGAGGGGTCCAGAATATCCGCTCGATCACCCTCCTCCGTGCTGGCACTGGCAGGGCACGCATCGGGCATCAGGATGAGCTCTGTGAGGCCGTGAAGGTTGGACACGTGGCGGAAAGTCTGCAGCACCACCACCATGATGACCAGACCCAGGAAGAGGTAGGCTGCAGGGAGGGCAGAGGGGTGTGGTAATGAAGGTTATGTGTCAGCTTGGCTGGGCCTGGTTTTGAGTGTCTAGGCAGCTGGATGGGGTTATTTCCTGTGATGAGACTGGTAATCAACTCCATGGTGGAATCTCCTGTGAGCAGCTGCCTTAGGGACGTGATCTGCTTCCAGTTTCTAAGACACTCTGAGAAACGTCTCTAGCTTTTCGGCATGCTTGGACCCTGCATGTAGCTGAGTCTTCATTCAGCAGCCTGCCATATTGCTACCGATCTTGGGACTGTTTCTGGACTTGAACTAGTGGCCTGCCGTGTTGCTTGATAATTTTGGGACTGTACCATTTTACTTGTTGACCTTGGGTTTGTCAGCCTCAGCAGCCAGCAGCTGCCTGAGTTAAGAACAAGCTTCCAGCTTCAGTGGGCTGGGAGCAAGAGGTACAGCTGAAGCCCAAGGTGAGGGGGCCTTCACCCAGTCCCTAGAGCTGGCACTTTGAACTCGGACTTCTAGCTCCTAAACTGTAAGCGAATAAATCCCTATTTGTTAAGACCAACATTTGTGGTATTTTCTATTAAAGCAGCACTAGAGGGCCAAAACAAAGGATGATAGTGGACTTGGGGACTCAGACCCTGAGGGCAGGACCACGGCCCCTCAGGACCTCGCAGGGTGGGGATGGATCCCTCTCAGACCCTCTGACATGGAGCTGTGCCCCCTCACCCTCTTCCTGGGGCAGGCCATGACCCCCTCAGATCCTCCAGGGCAAGGCTGGCCAGTTACCCCAGACTCACCTGTGACCAGCACCTTGTAGAGAGCCCGGTAGGGCTGGCCGGGGGCCTCCCCGGGCACATAGTCACCCAGGCCGATGGTAGACAGGGAGATGAAACAGAAGTACAAGGCGTCCAGGAAGCTCCAGGCCTCCTCAAGGTGGCTGAAGACTGCGGCTGGCACCAGGAAGCAGATGGTCACCACGACCCCCAGCAGGATCACCAGGTGCCAGCGGGCTGCCTGCCGAGGGTCCCAGCCCCTGTGCAGGCTCAGCCAGGACAGGGGTTTGTGGGTCAGGAGCAGTGACAGGCGCTGGGCCGAGGCGGTCAGCAGCAGCATGGTGGCTGGCACTCCCAGGAGCGCAAAGGCAATGGCAAAAGCCTTGCCCCCATCAGTCAGTGGCGTCGTGTACCCGTAGCCTGGAAGGGTGAGGGGAAATCCTTCTGCCCACTCAGCACCCCCACTCAGGGGTCTGTGGATACCCTAACCCGAGGTCTAATACCCCCCCAAACCTGCCCCTCCCACAGTGCCTCCTGTCTCTGATGGCACCTCCATCCTTTCCACTGCTCAGGAGCTGTGACGCTATTCTCTCTCCTCATAAAACTCCTCTCCATTCAGTCAATGAAGCCGATTGTCTCAACCTCCAGAGAGATCCAGAACCTGCCACTTCCCCCAACCCCATCACTACTCCCCAGGTCACTCACCGGGGTACCGTCCAGCACAGGGAAGGGCAGGTCCCTGCTTCTGCCTTGCCCCTAGTCTGCTTCCCACACATGGCCAGAGGGACCCTGTGACCACCCCAGTCAGGTTACATTGGTCCCCTGCTCAGATCTCTCCTGAGGCCCCATCTCACTCAAGGGCAAATATGAAGTCCTCCCTGTAGCCCACAAGGCCCCACATGATCCAGCCCCACCACCTCTAACGTTCCCCATCTCCCTCACTGTCCTCACTGATAACCTAACGGAGCGTACTCCTACCTCAAGGTCTTCTCGCTGGCTCTTGTCTCCCTGTGGAACTCTCTTCCCCAAGTATTCACATGGCTGGCTTCCTCCCTCCCTCCCTTCCTTCAGGTATTTGCTCAAACACCAGCTTCTTGGTGACACCATTCCAGACCAGTCTATTTAAAACCACAACAATCTCTTATCACCTTCTAGGCTACTATGTGGTTTATTTGCTCACTGTCTATCTCCCCGAGGGTGCCAGTCAGCTCCAGAAGACGGGTCCTCTGCCTGGTTCACTGCTACATCCTTGGCAACTGCTGAGTGGGCACTCAATCAGAATTTGTCAAAATAATGAATGAAAGGTGTGGGTTCTAGCTTGGGTCTGAGTTTGTTTCCTCTACTCTAAAATGGGTCTGACAAGCCCCTGACCTCAGGCTCCCAGAGGATTGTGGGGAACAGGAAGGTCAGTGTAGGTGTGAGCTCTGCAAACAGAAACATGATAGAAGGGATTCAGGTGGTGGTGGGACTGGCTCCCTTCGGCAACATCCAACTTACAGGTCTCTTTTCATTTCCTCTGGGAGCTTGTAGTATAATGCCTAAGGCATTTGACTTCTAACCAGAAGGCTGGAGGTTCAAACCCACCAGCTACTCCTCGGAAGGAAGGTTGGGCAATCTACTTTCGTAGTGATAACACCTTAGAAACCCAAGGAGGGGTCGCTATGAGTCAGATCTGACTCGATGGCAGTGAGTTTGGTTGGTTTTTGGTTTTCATTTCCCAAAGAAGCTCTGGTAGCACAGTGCCTCAGGCATCTGATTGCTACCAGAAGGTTGGTGGTTCAAATCCACCAGCCACTCCACGGAAAGATGGGGCAATCTACTTCTATAAATATTTACAGCCTTGGAAACCCAATGGGGGTCACCATGAGTTGGAATCAACTCGATGGCAGTGGGTTTGGTTTTCGATTTTTGGATTTCATTTCCTAGAAGGAACTGGTAGCATAATGGCTAAGTGCTTGGCTGCTGACCAAAAGGTTGGGGGTTCGAATCCACAAGCCACTCTGTGGGTGAAAGATGAGGCAGTCTGCTTCTGTAGATTTACAGCCTTGGAAACCCGGTGGGGCAGTTCTACTCTGTCCTGTAGGGGCGCTGTGAGTCAGAATCGACTTGTCGGCAATGGGTTTGGTTTGGTTCTGTCATTTCCCAGATAAGTCAAACTGGAGGGTCAGATATATGACTGGGGTGGTGAGGGGTCTGGTTTACATTGACATTAAAATGTTTCGCCCATGGGTAAGATGTAGCCCTGGGATCAGTGATAAACTGTGGCAACACTGCATGCTGGGGCAGGCATTCAGCGTGCCTATTCTTCATACAAAAGAATTCCCTGGTTTTAATCTGGACACATGGCCATCTGACATAAAGACAGAAGATTCCCTTCACAGCTGGCTGTGACTCTGTGACTAATGCCTAGCTGGATGCAGTACAGTGAATTGCTTAATATGACCCTTCTAGCCACAGCCCTCCATTTTGTGATGTTTATAAATCCTAGTCTCTATGCCTATTCAGGGTGGGATATACCTTGAGGCCCACCTTGCTGGAGGGTGGGACTCAAGTCACCACCTGCAGTTTCCTTGAAGGCGTATATGTGAATGTTCAGGCCAAGTTTGCTCTCCTTTGCTCTTTATCCTGCATTTGGTTCGCCATGATCTCACCCCTTGAGACAGCAGCCAGTCACCTGACCTGCCGATTGGGGTCCACCAGCCCCTGCACCCACGTGAGTGAGGAGAATCCTCCAGACCTACGCCTGACCCACGGATTAGGGACTCGTCAGCCTCCCCGCCTCCATCATCACGTGAACCATTTCATTTCCTTGGCAGTGTGTGAGTTCTGTGAGACGTTACAGTGAAATAAGGAACCCTAAGATGGGAGGGAGAGTCCTGAGGGGAGGAGGAGGGGTGGATGTCAGAGATGATGGAGTGGCCCAGCAGTCTGGAAAAGTTGGACATTTGCAACATCTTTAACCTCTACCTCATAGGGACCAGCCTTGTGCTGATCCTTCTAAAAGAAATTATTTGAGCACTGGCCAACGAAGTATACACAAAATGGACAAGCAACTTCCAGAAGGTGTCCTAAAAGGGTGGGGGGCACCCATCTCCCTCCTGCCCTCTCTCCTCCTGCTGGTAGAACACAGACAGGAAGGCCGGAGCTGAAGCTTGGACCGTGAGGTGACCTTGGGAATGGAAACCAGGCACAGAGAAGCCCGGGTCCCTGACTATTTAAGTCACTGCAATTTGCGGTTTTTCATTTATGATTCTGACCCTCACAAATACAAGGATTTTGATGGAGGAACTCCAGCAGTGCGGCTGAAACGTCAGGTTTGCAAATGCCACGAAATCCTTACAAACACAAAAATCAGAGTTAGAGTAGAACCGGGCTCTGAGCCCCAACTGACTACCTCAAAGAGCCAAGTTCAAGTCAGTTCTCTGCCATTGAGTCCCCGCATGACCTCAGCCAAGAATCCCCCTCTCTGAGCCTCACTTTCCTTCTCTGCAAAATGGGCTCCTAACTAAGGCCTACCTCAAAGGCAGCAGTAATCATCTGGTGGCACTGTGGTCGGCTGCTAACCCAAAGGCTGGCAGCTTGAACCCACCAGCAGCTCGTGGGAGAAAGATGGGGTGGGCTGCTTCAGCAAAGACCTACAGCTGACAGCAAACTCTCTGGGGCATTTCTACTCTGTCCCACAGGATGGCTTTCGGTGGCTGGAACCAGGCAGTTAGTTAGTTGGCAAGTAATAACCTTAGGAGTTCTTAGGTGGTGCAAACAGTTAAGCACTCAACTACTAGCCAAAAGGTTGGGGGTTCAAACCTATCCCCAGGCAGCTCAGAAGATCTGCTTCTGAGAGGTCTGCCTCTCAGAACATAAATGGTGTTGCCATGACCTGGTGTGGAGTGGGCAGCGAGTAACAGCAGTTAATAACCTAGCCAGGTTCCCACAGGGCGTGGCACCCAGCCATGGGCAAGTAAATATTTGCAATCATTGGAATGCTCTCTCCCGGATTCCCAGTTCCAGGTGGCCGCCCCTTATCCTGGGCCCGCTCCTGTAGCAAGGCCCACATTAACTCCAGGCCCAGGTCTTTCTCAGAAGAGGAAACCAGGACTATTGTGGGAAGAGATCTATCTGAAGAACGTTTCCTTGGTTTTCATTTCTACTGAAACATTCAGGCCTCCTGTCTTCACTCCATGATAAATAACTGACCACCCACCAAAGTTAGCATCACCAACAGCAGTGAGCACCCGCCACATGCCAGCACTTCACACACTACCCTCTTCACACCAAGCCTTGGAGGCGGCCTGTGGTCAAGAGTATGGGACTCTGGGGCGGATGGCCTGGGTTCACGTCTCCACTCTACACCTTCCTAGCTGTGTGACCTTGGGCAAGTTGTCTAACCTCTCTGAATCTGTTTTGGTTGCTGAAAAATGGGTTAATACTGGTTTCCTGCCTCGTAAAGCTGTTGTGCTGATGAACGGAGCTAAAAGCCCTGATGTGGTAAGTCCTCTATTAGGCTATGACTATTATTAGGAAGTGGACAGCGTCAGCATTCCTATTTTACAGATGAGGGAGGACACTAAGGCCTAGAGCTGAGCGACAGCTGAGCAGGGATCCCCGCCCAGGTTGTATGTGCCTGGTGTCTGGGTTTCCTCATCTGCCCCATCAGGGCCAGCTCTGCAGAAGCTGAGACCCAGGAGGAGGGAGAAGAGATAATGACAACCGGGTGAAGCCTGGGCAGCCTCCCCTCCAGCCCAGGAGCAGGTTGGGCCTGCCCAGCCAGGGTAGGGAGGGACAAGCTCCAGGGAAGGGTGGCTCATTCCAGAGTCTGTCCGGGATCCCTCCAGCTCTGCCACTGGGGCTCCAGCTTGTCAATCCACGCAGTGAGGCACCAAGGCAAAGGCCACTTCCACTGCTGCTCTTCAGGAGGGGGAGTTTTAAACCTGGGATAGCCCGACCCCAGCCTCCCCTACTTCCAAATCCTAAACAAAGAAGGAAAGTGAGCTTGGGGCCTGGGGAAGGGGTCCAGGACAGGTGGTGAGGCTGGACTGCAGACCACACAGGGCGTTCCCCGTCAGTGGGGTGCTGAGGTTAAGGGCTGAGGTGGGAAGGGATTTCCCAGGGGGGTTCCACCTGAGCTGGGCTTGGAAGGGGTTCCAGAGAGTTGGTAACCTTAAATCAGTAGCTAATGTTCCAGTCCAAGGAGCTCTGGTAGCACAGTGGCTAAGACACTTGCCTGCTAACCAGACGGCTGGCGGTTCAAACCCACCAGCCACTCCTCGGAAGGAAGGTTGGGCAATCCTACTTCCGTAGTGATACTGCCTCGGAAACCCAAGGAGGGGTCGCTATGAGTCGGGGCCGACTCGACGGCACATAACAACAACAACAACAATGTTCCAGTCCAATGGTTCAAACCCACCAGCCGCTCTGCAGAAGGAAGATGAGGCAATCTATTTCTGTGAAGAGTTCCCACTTTGGATACCCAATGAGGGTCGCTATGAGTGGGAACTGACTCAGTGGCAGTGGGCTTGGTTTTGGTGTTTTGGTCCCAGCTCTAAGAAGATCCTGGGTCCAAAGGATTGGGAGAGGGGTCTTCAGGCAGAGGGGCTTCTGAACCTAGGGCTGCCCGAAGGCAGGTGACAGAGAACGACATTGCTGAGGGGTGATTAGAGGGGACGGGGTCTCAGTCCTTGGTGAGTGTGATGGCAGGGCTAGTCTAGCAAACTGCTTACTCACCAATGTGCAAATCAGTCCAGGGGGACTAAGATCACCCACTTCTGACACCCAATTGTGTGGCAGATAACAAACCCCACTCCACCTGCCGGCGGCATCCTGTGGAAATCTCAGTTTCTCTGCCCTGTTCAGCATAGAAGGAGATGTTGTAACGCAGCGGTTAAAGCATTCAGCTGCTAACAGAAAGGTCGGTGATTGGAACCCACCAGCCACTCCGTGGGAGAAAGATGAGGCAGTCTGCTTCTGTAAAGGCTTCTAGCCTTGGAAGCCCTACGGGGCAGTTCTCCTCTATCTTACAGGGTACTATGAGTTGGAACTGACTTGATGGCAGCAGGTTTGGTTTTGGTTTGGGGCTCAGCTTAGACCCCAGCAGGGGTCTCTCTCATCCCTAGCCACCTGGAGTGAGGTCAACGGATTACAGCCACAAGCTTGAGAGACCACATGACTCCTTGTAATTCAGACCAGCCAGCCCCTACTATTCCTTTGGGTCCTATAATTTGCTGGAATGACTTATAGAATTCAGAGTATATATAAATGAAGAGCCAGACAGGGGTCACAGAGCAGGGCTTCCATGTTCTAAAGATATGCTATGGTCATCAACCAGGAAGCTCCACCTGAGCCCCTATGTTCAGGGCTCTCATTGGCCTCACCACACAGCCATGAAAGATTACATCATGCCTCATGCGACTTTGTCAGAGTCAGACCCCCGGGCGGTCCCTCTTGGTCTGGTCAGCTCCTATTCATTAGCCTCAGATGCTGGTACAGCTCGACAAGAACACAGGCCAAATGGCTTTCTGCAACGTGACGTGACACCCCACAGTGAAGATCAAGGGATGAGAACTGCACGGTCTTGGGTGGTGTTATGGATCGAACTACGTTCCCTTCCCACGCCCCAATCACTTCTGAGATATAAGAGTAGATCAAGCACAGAAGCAAGGAGGCACAGATGGGCGAAGACAGATACCACAGTCTACATGAAGATGCCAAAGAGCGGAGGGAGAGACACCAAACATAGACAAGGACCTTACCCCAGAGCTGACAGAGACAGAAAGTCTTCCCTTAGAGTCACTGCTCCGAATTCAGACTTCTGGTCCCCTAAACTGCGAGGAAATCAATCTGTTTGTTAAAGCCACCCACTTGTGGCATTTCTGTTAGAGCAGCGCAAAGAAACTAAGACAAGCGGATCCTGGGGAGGGGCCAGAGACACAGAGGAGTGTCGTGGACGGAGCTTCAGGGCCAAGACAGGCTGCCACAACGCTGGAGTGGTGAGAGGGGTCCCAGCCAGGGGCCAGGGGAGACTGGAGGGATCCCAGGTACCCAGGAGAAGCCCCTTAGGAAGTCCAGAGCAGGCAGGAGAGCTTGGGTAAGGGCTAACAGGTACAGAGAGCCAAAGTTCCTGGGCTGGTGTCCTGTGGGGGAGGGACTCTGCTTTCACTCACTGAGTGTGGAGGGCACTGGGGTCCCTGATATGGGATCCAGGTGGTTCTGGAAGCTCTCAGGGTCCAGAGGGGTGTCAGGATCTAGAGAGGGGTGCTCAGGTAGGGGTTTGTGGGTTCCAAGAGGCCCCCACGGAAAGTCCCTGGCTTGGAAAGGATTAGGGGCTTTTGCGGGAGGTGGTTTTGAAGGCTCCTGTAGATTGCCAAATCTTCCTTCCGAGGAGTGGCTGGTGGGTTTGAACAGCCAGCCTTCTGGTTAGCAGTCAAATGCCTTAGGCCACCAGAGCTCCCCTCCCCCTTTTCGTTGTTTGGTTGGAGAGTCAGTGGTCCCTCTAGGCAGCGCTCTGGCTCCTTCCCTGCTGGGTGCCTTAGTTACCTGCTGCTGCTATAACCGAAACGCCCAAGTGCACGGCTTTAAAAACAGAAATTTATTTTCTTACAGTTTAGGAGGCCAGTAGGTAAGGAACTCTTACCCTTACAGGGTGCTGGCTCTCTGGGGGAGGAACCTCATGTCCTTTCAGTTTCTCAGCCTGGGCCCTCGCAGATCTTCCCGTGTCATGGCATCTGCCTTCCTCTCCTCTGCCAGCTTGCTGGCTCCTTTAATCTTTCACATCTCAGGAGACTGACTTAAAACACGTCCTACACTGATACTGTCTCATTAACATAACAAAGAAAACCCATTCCGAATGGGATTACAACCACCACAGGAGTTAGGATTTACAACACGTATTTTTGAGGGGCACAATTCAGTCCATAACTGTGGGGCCCTTTCATGCATCCACAGTTGGGGACTGTTGTGAAGGTCCCTGAATTAGAAGACTCAAATCCAGAGAAAACTGAGGGTGTCCCTGTTGAGAAGGTCATCCTATCCTGAGGGCTACCAACGTCAAGATGGGCTGGGGTCCCTGGCAAGAGTCCTATGTCCCGAGTCAAGGATATTTGCTGGAGAGTCTGGTGTGGGGAGAAGGGTGGGGTGGTCTTTAGTCTGGAGAAGGGCGGGGGCCTCGCTGGTTGGGGTCCAGAGGGGTGGGAGTTGCCAGGTCCCTGCCGAGTGATCTCTATCAGTAGTAAAGTCTTGCCAGCTGTGGAGTCCTGAGGGAAGGGTAAGGCCAGGTCTGATGGTTAAGGGTTCTCTGGCTGGGGCTCCAGGGCCAAGAGTTTAGGGCTGAGATTTCAGGGTACTGGAAGGATATATCCAGGCTCTCAGGTGGCTTTGTTGGAGGAATGGTGGTCCTGAGACCAAGGGCGGGGGTCCTTTTGTGGCTGATGTCTGGGTGCAGAGGGGGTGGCGGCCTCAGGCAGGGCCCGGGTCCTCGCTAGAGGTCTCTGAGATGGGTCCCCAATGTCCGCTGGTAGCTACCCCGAGGGGAGCGCTAGCCCGGCGGAAACTCGGGGATTTCCGGCGAGGAGGAAGGGCTAGGATGAGGGCTCCCCGAGGAGGGCGGACCAGCAGTGTGGGTCCCGGGTCCTCGTTGGGGGATGATGGGGGGACAAGGGAACTGCATGGGGGTCACCAGGCTTCGAGGGGGGCAGGGACGGGATGAGGTCGTGCTCACGTACCTACAGTGGTGACCAGCGTGCTGGCGAAGAAGAGCGCCGAGGCAAAGTCCCAGGTGGCGTCCGAGGTGTTGGAGAACGCAGAGCGCCCCAGCCGTCCGGCCGCCAGCACCCGCTCCACGAGGGTGTCCAGGGCAGGGGCTGCCACACACGGGCTGCGCTGCAGCAGCTGCGCCCGCAGCGTCCGCAGCTCGTCTCGGAGCCGAGCCTCGTGCGGCGCCTCCAGTCGCGACACCAGCAGCGCGCCTAGGACCAGGTACCCGACGTACGCGCCCGGCGCGCCCGCCAGCAGCGCGCCCCGCCGCATGGCGCCGGCGGAACCCGCGTCCCGCCAGCCCCCGGCGGCCCCGCTGACGTGGCCCCCGCCTGCCGTCAGCCCGGAGCCTAGTTTCAGTTCCGGGAGTGCAGAAGGCCCGGTCAGAAAGGTCCCAAAGAGGAAGAAGAGGAAAGGGGAAGGGCGGGGTGCACGAACGCCCCGCCTCCGGGAAACTGAGGCACGCCTACTGCCGGGTGCAGGTGCTGGCAAGGTAGAGCCTAGCTCTCCCGGATCCTGGAGAACAACGAGAGGAAAGGGAGGCGGGTATTTTCCCTTCTCTCGTTTCCCTGCAGGAGTCATGGTGGAGACGATCTGAACTCCCCTTTCTGTTGGCGAACCGAGGAATCGTTCCCCAACTTCTCAGGGCTACTGCGTGAGGCTGCGAAGACTGCACCGCAGCACGGCGCCTGGTTCAAGGGGCAGGTGGAGGCTGAAATGCAGCCTTAGCTCCATTCGCCTAGCCGTGCGCCTGGAGTGGGGTTGCGTCCACCAGCAGGAGGCACCCGTCTAATTCACAACGAGGACACCATAGGGGCAGGTGCCCCCTCTGCCCTCCTGGATAGGGTGGGGATCCTTATTCACCAAATCATTGCTTGGCTCCCACTTTCTGCCTGGCCCTTTGCTGGGCGATGGTGGGGACACAGCGGTGACTGAGACAGCCCTGGGCCCTGCCCTCTTAAGGCTCCCAGTCTAAAGGGAAGACAGGCCAACAGAGAGTGAACCCAGAGCAATCCAGGCTGTGATGGGGGAGGCGCTGGCAGAGGGCTTGGGGCAAGGACAGGGAAGCCCAGGGACTGTGGGAGCCCAGAGGAGGCAGTTGATTCAGCTTCGGGAGGTCAAGAGGGCTTTTTGAGGAAGGGAATATCTAAGCTGAGACCTGAGAAATGAATAGCAGTGAGGAAGGGTCTCTTTTCTGGCACAGTTACAAATATACCTCCCTATTATGGTTCCTAGAGCTCTGGTAGCGTAGTGCCT